ATACTATCATTTCTTTAGTTTTATTTTAAAATATAATCTCATTTTTCCCATCACATTACTTTCCTCCCCACTTCCTTCATCGCCAGCCACTTTAGCCTCAGGATGATCATCCGCTATTACATGCATCTCCATCAGTCACTGGCTTGTTCACTTCATCTTCTATTATTGTTACATATTCTCTCACCTCTAAGTTTGTGCCTTATAAAGTAGAACTCCTTTAGAAACTGCACATAGGGAATGTGACTTCCACAGTTGTGGTAATGTGGTAATGTGGGCACAGAGCTGGTATGGATGCAGGCCACTTGGGGACATAACCCCACTGATACTCACCAGAATATTCTTTGTTCACCCCCTTGCAGAATGCATCTGTTTGGATCTAAAGTGGCCATCCTTTTAGCCTGGGCTCAGTAGCAGATGCCACTGTTCTATCAGACCAGCACCAAGGGGCAGCTGATTAACCTAAGCAAATAGTTAAAGCAGACATTCAGCAAATGATGCACATGACTTACCTTGAATTTAAATATGCTTCAAGCATGTCTGCCAGTCTTGCGATTTGGAGAATTGATCTTTCCTTTGGTCTTAGGTCCATTTAGTGTGTCAAGTTATCTTTCTCGCATAAGCTTCATGAAAATTACATAATTTGTGATTTCCAGGTTCAGTTCTTTTAAAGTGGGATAAGCCATGGGAAGCAATGTGAATGCAGAACACCCTTAGATTTTTTTGTGATTTTTATGATTCTCCTCACTCTCTTAGAACTGCCTCTCCAAGACCTAATTTGGCAGCAGTTTCTGCTTAGCTACTTTGATTTTTCAAGTCTTTCCAAAGCATTCAGGTTGGTTTTCTTAGAACAAGCAGCTCTTTCTGCCTGCATCCAAATGTCATTATGCAGTTACTGTATTATCTGAAACTGGTCTTTCCCTGTGAAGGAAAACATGTCTAGGGCCCTGACTGGCATGGAACTCACCTGGGGGATTAGGAGCCATAGGGTAAGCAGGTGCCATCCCAGAGTCTAAGCACAGAGGAAGAGCACCAGCTTATCTGGTGAGCTGATAATAAGGAATCAATTAAGAAAATTCTTACTATAGTAGTAATTCTGCTATTTCTACTAAGTCTAAGGAAGGGTAGAGGAAGAGAGCTTTACTCTTGTATCTCTTAGTCTTTCTGGAAAATCTCAAAGGTTTTATATTCCCTCCAGAGAGTGCAGTGAGAAGGCTGGGGGAGGTTGCTCTGCTTCCTGGTGAAGCAGAGAGGGTAGCTGCAGGTCAGAAGCCAGGCTAGGGAGTAAAGGCAGGTGCACAGACCTGTCCTGGGGCCTGGAGAAGAGGGTGCTCAGAATGCCAAGGTGTTCCTGGAAATCCCAGACCCATGTCTTCAGGCCCTACTGGTCTACTGTGTCTTCCATGATACCCCCATGGAAGGAGATGGAGGCATGGGGGCAGAAGAGCTAGTACTTATGATAAGAACCTTTGTTTAAGCCACATGACACTACCATATGGGTCTGTGACTGAGAAATTATGTTTCTTGGTATGGCCCTTTCAGGTCCCAGTGGGGCCAGGCCAAAAAAATTCACATGGTCAATAATATGCTGTCTGTTGTGTGGGTCCTCAGTAGACTGTCAGGATCTGAAGACCAGTCCTCTGCTATCCAGTCTTTTTGTGCTTTCCCTCAAATCCCAGCTGCTGGGCTGTGTAGATGGAATCAATTTGAGGGGCTCTGTGCTGCGGATCTTAGCAAGCTGCCCAAGCCAGGTAGCCCAGTTCTGGTCACCCCTCACTTCCAGGAGTGTCTAGAAGGACAGCTGGGATCCCTTTCCCCAGAGAAGACAGGATGACAGACTCTCAGATGCATGCTCCTTTTATGTGGGAGCTTATCAGGAGGATCTTTATGTGGGAGCTTATCAGGAGGATCTTTGTTAACACATGGGCCAGATGACCCAGGGCAAGCAGAACCACTTGGAAGAGATGACTTGGTGCCCTTTCTGCCCACCACCTCCAGATGCAGTCATACTTTACACCTGGCAATAAAAGTACCCATGTGAGGTCTCAGAGCATAGTACACTGGAAGTTGTGGGGGATGTGGGCTGACCGATGGGCTTTCCAGGGTCACAGTCATTTCTGCCTGATCCTGAAAGATGGCAGGCAGGTTGCCAGGTGAGAGGGAGCTGGGGATCCAGGAACTGGGAACAAAATGTGTTTGGTGTTTAGGGTAGAGATGAAGCAGTTTTGTTCAGAATGAGGAGTTTTTTTGGCATTGGTTGGTTAGGAAGCTGGAAACTTGATGGGATTCAGTGAGCAGAGGTCTCATTCACAAAAGAGTTTTCAATGGCATTGACCTCATTGGTTTAAAAATAGCTCTGCTAGCAGGATGGAAACTGAATTCCAGAGGCAGAAAAGCAAAGCAGAGAGAGAAGTCAGCTGCTTCTGTATAGCGAGATGAGCAGGGGTTTTGCAGAGGCACCACAGTGAGGAGGTGTCTGTCTGTCCATACAGCAGATGTCCCAAGCTAAAATCCACTGGTGGATAAAACAGGAAAAGAAAATGCCCTTGGTTAATACAAGGAGCAAGTTACCTAGGAAAGCTTTCACACCCCAGAGGGAGGAGGACCGAATGGAAGGAGGGAGGGGAAGGACCACAGTGGCTTCTTTCCTGCTGCTCCCTCTTGGCTCCCTCCAGCGCCCCCTACTGGCAGAACATAATGCGGAGCCAGCTGGCAAGGGAGCCTGGGAAATGTAGTCTGGCAGCCCCGTCATCTCAAAACAGAGGACAGAGCTGGTGACCTTGGGCAGCAAGGCATATCCTAACCTCATTAAACAGATGCTGATGCTGGGGGAGAGAGGGAAGAGGGCAAGTGTGACTTGCAGCCTTCTTGCTGGGAAGGCTGAAGAGCCAAGGTAAAAGTGTCCTTTGAAACAAGCCCAGTCTGAGCTGCTTCCATGAAGATGGGGCCAGCAGCACACCCCTTGAAAGGGGGTCTGGAGCTTGAATCTGATGCAGAGTCTGTTTTTGTTTGTTTGTTTCATTTGGTGGTACTGGGGATTGAACCCAGGCCCTGGCATATGCTAGGCAAGAGCTCTACCACTGAGCTACACCCCCAGCCCAGAGTCTGTCCTTTAATATTCATAAGGCCTCTGGTGTCTGGCAGCATCCAGTCATTTAAACTTCCTAATGGAATCGTCTGGAGCTCCCACCTTTCCTAAAAATGCTTGTTCACATGCCTGGTGGACTTATGGCTTTAATAGACAAGTGTTTGGACTTTTGCATTTCATTAGTTTTTCTTGAGTATGTTATTGATTTTCCTAATTCCTGACAGAGACTAATTCAAAGTATTTCCTTGTTAGACCTCATGGACATTTGCCCTCATCCAAGTCACTTAGCCTTTGTGCTCTAAGCATAAGGATTAACAGCTTTCCATGGCAGAGAATGACAGATGCACATTCAGCTGCTCAGAGCTAGTGATTTACCTCTATTTCAGACAATTTAACAAACATAGCTGTGGGTCAGATCAAGCTGGAAAGGCAAGGAATGTGCTCTGTGGTTAGAAAGACCCACAGGAACCATTTTTAATCTCATGTGTTATGTGTTTTGTCATAGCCACCCATTCTTTCTCCAGCCATCTAGAGCATGCTAATTTTGCAGCATTTGACCATATTCAGGATTATGACCTTACTATACTGTGCTAAAATGTTCTAATGTCCTGACCTCTATCACCCTACCTCTGGTGTCAGAAGGCACTTCCTACCTGACAGCTTCAATCAAGCTGTTCCCCAGCTCCAACACCCTCTGGCTCCCTTGTGTTCCCAGAATTAAGAATTGACTTCTAGAGCCTTATCTACTTGTTATTCTAAAACATCCTTCACTGGCTTGTGACTGTTCTTGCTCCTGAGTATCTTCTAACCCCAACCCTTGAAATCCTACCTGTCTTTCAAGCCTATTCAGATGTCATCTCCTTCATGAACACTGTATAGATCCCAGGTTCCTAGACTGCTTGGTGACTTCATTGTTTTCTAAAGGAGTTGCTGTGCTTGACCATCTACAGGTGACTCTGGGTTCTTACCTCTACACCCTGTCCCTCCCCTTACTTTACATGCCATGCAGTGGGTCTTCCCAGAGCACAGAGTCTTGACAGGCCAGGGTCTTTCGCACCTGTACTCTCCACTGAAATCAATGGAGCAATATCTCAGGCATCTCCATGCCACAGGTGGCCTCTGGTGACCTAGGGTGGAAAGAGAAGCAATTATTTGTTCTACTTCAGAAATGGAAACCAGACATGCAGCATTCATTGTGAGTTTTGCTCCATTTGTTTACGCAGCATCTCTCTGTTCAGGGTTGCCTTAACAATGTTCTGGAGCTCATAAAGGGGTCTCTTCACAGGGTATGCAGAGTCCTTGGAATTGCAAAATATAATAGATGTTCTGTGTCTAATGGGGACTGTAATGAAATATTTGAGAAATGTTGGGTTAAAGGATTAAACGGTAAAGTGAATTTTTCAACACAAGCCTGATCAGGACCTTTAACATACTGATGCATGTTGCAGGGTTCTGAGAAGAACATACGTACAGAGCTCTTTCCACATGTATTTCACTGTAGGAATTTGGTGGAGGTGCTTCTTGAGGATTTAGCATTGTCTCATGAACATGCTTTGGGAAGCACGATTACATTGTGGATAACCAGCATCTATTTCATTACAGACTTTGAACAGTAAAATCACAGAAGCCAGCATTGGTGGTAAGGATGATATTAATGACTTCCCAGATGGTATTTTTTTCTCCAGAAAAAGTGTAGCGGAGCACTCCACATAACAACATGGGAAACCGGCGTAATGAGGCTTCCAAGGGGAGATATGAGAGCGAAGCAATCCTTTTAAAGTGTGTGTTTAGCAGCTATGGCTTGACAAATTAAATTACAGACATTCCACACTGATCATTAAAGCTTATGTATAATTAGCTTAATTAGACACGAGCCACACAAGATGTCCCAAATAACTCTGATTCTGTTTTCCAGTTCTTTCCACAAAGGTCGCATTCTGCCAATCCTGCCTGTGTGACTCCCCATGGCACAGTTCTCCATCAGACGCTGGATTTCGATGAGTTCATCCCCCCGCTTCCACCTCCACCTTACTACCCTCCCGAGTACACCTGCACACCCTCAGTTGAGGCCCAGAGGTGGGTCTACCTGCCGATGCCCCAGATGAGTGCCAAACCACTGGGATAGGAAACCATGCTGGGGAGGAGAAAGTTGAAATGCCTGCTTGCCTTCAGGGGAGACACTGAGCAGAACAAAGACCACGCCTTGGAAAGTGTGTTTGAAGAGAAAATAGACAGTGAAGGGGAGAAGGAGAAGTGTCTATTGGTATCTTTGCAATGTCACCAAAAAGAAAGCACAGGCAGAGAGAAGTAGCTCTATAAGGTTCTTGTGATGTGCAAAACGTTTAGTTATTCCTAGAACATATAAAATTTAATTAAAGATTTCATCAGTGGTCTGATTATTTTAATAGACAGGGCCATAGAGTTCCTTGAAAAGGTGGATGTCTTTCCAAAAGAGAAACAAAAGGTAAAATGGCCCAGTGATTCAGGCTTTTATTTTTTAAGCATGACAAGTGTTGGTTGAGGAGAAACCTTGACAATTGGTGTTCTGATTGCTTTGAGAAAATCATCTGCAGTTGGGGCTGTTTCCTTAGAGAATGACAATGTAATGTGACAGACAGTTCTGCCTTTTCAGGGGCCTCCACCTGGACTTTGCTTCCTCTCCATTCAGCACTTTGTATGATGTTGCCATCAACAGCCCTGGCATGCTGTACCCTGCTGAGCTCCCTCCGCCGTACGAGGCCGTGGTGGGCCAGACTCCTGCCAGCCAGGTGAGGCCAGCGATGCAGGTGGGGCCAGTTCCTATGGAAGTGCTCAGGGAAACCTCCTTGGCCTGTCCTCAGAAAGCACTGGGCCTGGGGCCCAGTGGGATGTGTGATTAACACCCATGACTATCCTGTCCTACTGTGTGCATCTGTATTAATTTAAGCCTTTTTTTTTAAGCCTGAGGTCTTCTTAGCCCTGGGCTATAAATGAGGTGATAAATTCAGAGAGCAGGACCTGCCTGATGTCATCCCAAGCTCTCATCCCTGCCCTTTAGTCATCCTGAAGGTCCCCATCTACATAGTGCCAGACCTTATCTCATCCACTGACCAAGGAGGTGTCAATCCTGAGGAACCTCTGTGGGTGGGAGAGTGCCCAGTTCAGCCTCAGTCCCACAAGCCTCAAAGACCGTCACATCCATTAGAACAGGTCATCTTTGCTAGGCCAGTGGTGGTAGGACAAGAAGAGAAGACAAGATTGTGCCTACTCTGTGCCTAGTGGGAACGAGAGTGTTTTCACTCTTGGCAATTGTAGGGGGCAATATTTGCTATACAGACTCTCCTTCAGAGTGGCTTTTGACAAGCCAACTCAGCATCGGACTTGGCCTCAGGAGTCCCTGCCCACCCTGGCATAAGAGATGCTGCCTGAAATGCCCCAAACAGCTCAGCAATCTGCACACGTCACCTCTAGACTGGGCCAAGGACTTCAACCTTTTGTGTGTGCAGAGTAGAACCTACTGTGTGAGCTCTGCCTGTGGGAATGGGATTCTTTATTGAGAAGGCAAATCATGGCCTTGAAATTCCTGAATTTGCAGTTATGGAGAGATTCTCTTGAACTTTTTCCTTTAAAGCTGAATGGGTTTCTGCCTTCCTGATGTGATTCATCTTCCCACTTATGATAAAATCATAAACTCTGCCAGGTGCCATGGCACACGCCTGTAATCCCAGCAGCTCAGAAGGATAAAGCAGGGGGACCAAGTTCAAAGCCAGCCTCTGAAAAAGGGAGGCACTAAGCAATTCAGTGAGACCCTGTCTGTAAAATAAAGTGTAAAATAGGGCTGGGGATGTGGCTCAGTGGTTGAATGTCCCTGAGTTCAACCCCCCCCAAAGTAATAGTATTAATAATAATAGTAATAATAATTAACATCAATATCAGTGAAGACTGATGGCTGTGATAAAAGTCTTTAGCACTCAGTGCACTGCAGGACACTTGTCACAGGCACCTGGCCTGTACCTGGGCGGGGTCCAGGGAGGATCTGAGAGTTCAGAACACATGGGTATGAGGCAGGGAAGGGTGGGGAGAGAGCTGGGAATGCCGCTAGGAGAGGGAACAACATTTGCAAAGACTTGGAGGAAGGAAGAGAGGGAATGATCTACCCAGGATATAGAAAGCTACGCAGGACTAGTCTCAGATGAGTGGACATGGATGTCCAGGTGTGATTCACTGGATTTTAAGGTCATCAGAACATTTGAGTGGGTGCCCACTAGGCAGCTGGATCTGTAATTTAGAGCCTTAGAGAGAGTAGAGTTAGCCACAGAGATGGTCACTGAGGCCTGGAAATGAGGGGGATGTCCAAGGAGAGGGAATGACACCATTGCATGTTGTAGCAGAAGGGCCTCCACCCATAGGACAGGCTGCAGAACAAGCAGAGCACTGAGTGGGGATCCCACAAAGCCTGGATTTGAAGAAAACAGCAGTTCAGAAAGAAAGGGATGGGCCTGGACTGCCCAGAGGCTTTGAAATACTGAATCCTTGGATCCACCTGGCTTACCAGCAAGGGCCAGCTGGTGATCTTGGCAGGAGCAGTATTGATACGATGGTGGAGCAGGAGCCAGTTTGCAGTGGGTAGAGGAGTGGCTGGGACATGAGGAGGGGTAGGAAGCTATGGGTCTTAGTTCTTTGATTCCAGTGGGCATTCTAGTCCTCCAAGGACTTATCAATCAAATCCTGATGGCTGGGCCTGTCCCCAGGGTTTCTTTCTTTCTTTTTGGTACTGGGGATTGAACCCAGGGGCACATGACCACTGAGCCACATCCCCAGCCCTATTTTGTATTTAGAGAAGGGTCTGAATTGCTTAGTGCCTTGAATTTGCTGAGGCTGGCTTTGAACTCGGGATCCTCTGCCACAACCTCCTTAGCCTCTGAGATTACAGGCCTGCACCACCACAAGGCTGCCCCCAAGATTTCTAAGTGACTAGCTAGTTGGAGGAGAAGGGTGTGCTAAGAATTTGCATTCCAAACAAGGTCTTAACTCCTGCAGTTGCAGGGACCCACCTGGAGAATTAGAATACATCACTATTGCAAGACATTTGCTAAAGAGAAGATGGATGGTACTTAGAGGGGAGTGTGGGTATAAGGACTTGAGGATGTCACCAAACAGATGTGAAAGGATCAGAGGAGGGGGCAGTGGGTCTAGGGCAGGTCCCTCCATGGAGGGTATTCCTCAAGAAGGCAAGAGGGGGAAGCTGATGAGGCATGCAGCAGATGGGCAGCTGTGCCTTATAACCATCAGGGGCACCAGTCAGGGTGGCAGACGCACCTGGAATCCCTGAAAGTGCACGGGGATATGTGATTCTCTCCAGCTGCCTCAGAGAGGGATGGGCAACTCTGCCATCCTCTGCTCCGTACCAAGAGCCTGCTTGCTACCATCACAGAATTGCAGCTCCATGTTGGGGAGTCTTGGCCGGCTTCCTCATGCTCCCTTTTGTCAGCTGTGACTCCTATTTCCAGAAGAGATGACTGGGTGGAATGATTCACAATCCCAAGTGCACTCGCTGTGGAAAGTGGCAGGACTGGGCATGCTGCTCTGCTCAGAGTCCTTTGCTTTTCAACAATAAGAACCCTGTCCAGGAGCCCCCTCCTCCAGCCCCCACCCCAGCTTTTCAAGGCCTCTGAATGCTAGAAAGAACTTTGATTTGAGTGTAACATTCTTTGACAAACAGACTATACTGGAGGATGACAATACCGGTTCTAAGACCTATATGACACCATTCTCTAAAACTAGTGGAAATGCTCTATGTTGAAATTTCTCTCATAGAACTTTGGTGAGAAGCATTTTAAGGTCAAAGCCTTGTCTCACGTCAGCTTGCGTTAGCTCAAAAAACTCTAGCTCGTAAGTGCTTACGCAAACATTATCTGCAGAAACAGCCCAGGCGAGTGTCTGTCTGTGTGGCCTCTCTCACAGCCCGCCCCATGTGGGAGCAGGACAGCATCTGGTGATCAAGGGGCCACTGCGGCCCACAGGCCAATTCCATTTGACCCCGTGCTCTAGGAGCACTTTTCAATTCCACAAACATCTCCGGGAGTCCAGAAGTCAATGAAACCCATGACCGTCCACAGAGGGATGGCGATCCCACCAGCTGCCCCCTCCCTTAGGGTGGCCGATGATTCCCCCTGATTAGACAGGGAAGAGCTGCCCCCTCCTTCACCACACAAGCATCTCCCTGGGCAAGGAGGAGGTTAATTGTGTCCCCTTGTTAGGACAAATGGCACATAGATTGCCTATCAGGACTCGTTTGGATAAAAAGAGGAAGACAGAGTGACAGGAGAGTGAAGCAGCATCGTGTGGCTCTGTGTGGTAAGGAAGGTACTCCTGGGTTGGTTTTTTTTTTTTCCCTTAGATGAGCTCTTTCTCTGTTGCCCAGGCTGACCTGGAACTCCCAGGCTGAAGCCATCCTCCCACCTCAGTCTCCCACGTAGCTGGGATTCACCACACACGTGTGAGAAGACATTCCTAATTGAGGGAGGAAAGCCACCCTTGATGAAGGATGTTCATTTAGACCTGTTCCCCTCTGTGGATCAGTCACACGTTGCCTTTGGCTTCTTCGGTAGTGATGTCGTTCTTTTCAGTGGCTTCTGGCTGTACTCTTGAGCAAGCTCATAAGGAGTGCATTTCTTTCTACAGCAGTAAAGTTACCGAGGATTTATCGGTTTGATGTTCCTGTTTAAAAGATGATATTACGTTCCAGGGACCATTTCTATCCACGAGTACTCCATGGGATATAGAACCAGGGATTGGACAGAACCCTCTCCCTTCTGGAACTAGGAGTCTGCTGTGGTGAGGGGACAGGGACAAATCAACTTCTTTGTGTCTTCAGAGGGAGAGTTGAGCCTGGCTTCTGGGTAGGGGTGGGGTGTGGGTGTGAAGGAAGGAAAGGGCATTAAGGCAGAGGGCACAGCAAGTCAAAGGCACAGAGATGAGATGACTAGGAGCTGGTGTGGGAGCTTCAGGTACAGGAAGGAGGTCACCAAAATGGCCTGAGTTCAGGTGTTGTCACCCTGCTATCAAACTATGGAAGTGTCTCTGAAAATTGACCCAACAGTGCTTTGAGGCTATATTTGGTGGCAGCATGGTAGGCAGAAGCAAAATCTAAGCATGAGGCTACAAGACCAACAACTCCAAGCCCTGAAAGTCATAGTTATATGTTCAAAGGAAATGACCTCTACATTTTAAAGTCAGTGTCTCCAAAGACTGCCTTGAGAATGTAATTCACATTTTCCATGATTGCTGATAATTGCCCCCAAATAACAGCTCTTCAAAATTGTGGTACTAGATAGCTGACCTCATCCAGGAGTGAGGAACTCATTACAGAAATAGGGCAGGATTTCCTTGCAGTGTTAGTTACACAGCTGTCTAATAGGAAGATGAAGGGGAACTTAACTGATTTGCCTGAATGCCAATTGATCTTTCAATTACAATGACTGGTCAAAATAACATACCTGAGATTTTCTAAGCCCAGGTTAAGTTATGCATGCCCAGGAGTGTCCCAGTTTAAGTTACATATGCAGCCTCTCTTTCATGGGCCCTCCTACTCACCTCCTTCTAGGACTTCTGTTTATGAGCCTTTATCACATACCTCAAATTTTAACTTAAGTTCCATGCCACAAATTTATTTCCTGTCCACCTTCTTCTACTTTTATAGTTCATCAACAATGCTGCGTGAAGTGAACAGCTATTTTCCCCACAGCTTCAGTGTGGCAAGGTGGTTTTTGACATCAGGGAAGACCAAATTCAAATTAAACCCTTGGCACTCTGCCTTCGAAAGGTGATAGATGTGCTCCCAGGAGCTGTCTCCTCTCAAAACTAAATTTTCTAGCTCTTGAATGCAGGGAGCCAGAGGGAAGTGAGTACTGCTTCTGCAAAATATGAAACGAATCCAATTTCCTCCTGACCTTGTCCCACTGTGTATTTTATTTCTCTTGTTTTATTTATATTTCTTTATTACCGGAAGCTCTTTTTTTCCCCTTCCAGGCAGCAGGTTTCTAAGTTACCTTTCACCTCCACACACACACAAATCAAATAGAAGATTAGATATGGTAAGAGAGTTATGGAATGAAACAGACCTTGAGGGCATTGTTCATGTGTGTGTGTGTGTGTGTGTGTGTGTGTGAGAGAGAGAGAGAGAGAGAGAGAGAGAGAGAGAGAGAGAGAGTGTGTGTGTGTTAGTGGAAGATTCTAGCAGAGATTTCCAAAATTGGTTATTGGCACATAGCAACATAATGAAAGAAAAAGGTGGATGCGAATGGTGGTGTGAATTATTCCTCACCTGATTCCCTCCCCACAAGTAGGAGAGAGCTGAGAGGTCTCCTGTGATGGGGTCCCAGGAAGCCTGTAGGTAGCTCTCTCAGGCAGCTCTTTCTCTGGTCTTCCCTGTCTCCCCAGCCCTCCTCCCAGCCCCCACAGCAGGAAGCAGCTCACACCCTTTGTGTTGGTGTAGAGGCTGCAGCTGGAGCCACCTGCCTTAGCACTAGCCTGGTTTAAAAAGGAGAGATGAAGAATATCAGCTCTCTGATTGAAATGGCGGGGGAATGAGGGAGGCAGAAATGTAATTACCTGAGCTGGAATCGGACCAAGCCACAGGGGCCCGCCTCACCTTCCCCAGCCTCCTCCAGAGCTCATTATTTGCAAGTGTGTCCCCAAAGCAATTCTGAAATAACACAAGGAATCAGAAATTGTTTTCTGAGCTAGCATGGGGGTGCACGGAGGTGCCCGTGTGCCGTGTGAGTCGTGTTCAGCACATTGAAGCACAGGGTCAGTGAGGGGCTGGGATGTCCTGGAACAGGGATGGACAGCTGTGCCCACCCACGTGGGAACCATGCTGCACAGAGGACAGAGAGAAGACTCGAGGGGCCTGTCCTTTCCTCCTTCTATTCCCTGAGGCCTCTCTGGGTAGAAAAGGAGTCACTCCAAGAAGAAAACTGCCAAAGCTTGGTGGCTATTGAATTTGAGTCCAGCTGCATAGATACTTGCCCCCAGGACAGGATGGCATTGAGGTGTGCCATCACTGTTGTGCTGCAGGATCCACATTCAGACTGGCACACCACCCTGTGTGGACCTGGACCCTGACCCTGGCAGGGAGGGCAGCCAAGGGTCTACCTCTCCCTCCCCTTGCAAAGGGGAGAGAGCAAAGGCCAGCTTGCTAGAGTCTGATGTGACCATTCATCTAAGGCCCAGTCTGTGCCCAAAGCATGCCAGCATGAAACATGATGAATCTGGTGACCATTTGTCCTGTGGCCTTATCCTTCCTTGAGTGGAAGCCAGGACGAGAGAAAGTGAGTGACAGAATTGCAATGGAAGCAAAGTCATGGCCTGTCCATGTCCCACAATGACTCTGAAGGATCCTGAGTATCCTTTGTTGGTCCCAAACAGTGCCCTTCAGTGGTAGGTGGGCAGGCTTAGGGTGTGCCAGGTTGCAATAAGGTGCTCTTATTACAAAAGGTCAGAGAAATGGGATTGACCTTAGCAAGGACAACATTAACACCCCCATCTCATAAATTTAGGGGAGAATACTGGACATGTATGTACATGTCTCTTAATACTTCTAGCTAGGAGATGAGTTTTAAAGCCAATCTGTATAATCATTCCTCAGTATCCACAGGGGATTGGTTCCAGGGGATATGCCTCTCAGATACCAAAATCCACAGATGCTCCAGCAAGTCCTTTAGATAAAATGGTGTAGTAATTGCTTATAACCCATAACCACCCCCATAGTTTCAATCATCTCTATACTGCTTACGATGTCTAACACAATGCCTGCTTGTTTTACTCACATGGATCCAGCATAGTACTTGGTAGGTAGAAATTCAAGTTTTACTTGTTGGAACTTTCTGGAATCCCTCCTCCTCTATATTTTTAGTTCATGATTGGTTGAATCCATGGAATGGGTGGATACAGAGGGTTGACTGTGTTTCTGGAGGCTTCTGTGATGTGTTCCCAAGCCCCACTGATGACCCACCTTGATGCTTTATGTTTCTTGCTGAAGGTTACAAGCATTGATCACCAGGTGGCTGAGTCTAGCTCCGGGGACCCAAACACCACTGCTGGCTTCAGCACACCAGGTAATGTTAATTCTTAGTATCTGAAGCACTGTTTCTATTTTTCAAGGATGTGTCTTTTTCTCCTGTTTTCTTCTCTCCTCTTCTTCTTACTCCTGCTCTCCATTTTTTACTCATTATAGGGGTGGAATTTGCTATATCCTTTTCCCTTAAGTACTATATAAATTCTCCACATTTTTCCTCTAACCTTTACCCAGTAAGTCAGTATTCCTGGAAGACCTCATGCTTTCTCTGGGAAGCACTCAGAAAGCACATAGGTCCAGCAGGTTTAGCTGCAGAAAAGATAATTCCCACCAGGTAATTAACTACTGCATTGGAGTGAGGTTGGGTTGCGATTCTTTTTGTGACCTGTACATATCCAGTTGCTCCAGGCCATTTCTCATTTTTGCACTTTAATGGCAACATAATTAAGTTGGACGTCATTGTGTGGGTCTGTTTCTGGGTTCTCTATCCTGTGTCTTTGATCTGTGTGTCTGCCCCTCTGCCTACACTACACTGTCTTCATGACCATAGCTCTGGAAGAGTAGTGCCCCACTTGATCCTTCAAGTCAAGATTGTTTTAGCTCTTCTAGGATCTGTACTTTCCATTTTAGATTTTAGAATCAGCTTATCTGAATCTTCAAAAATCCTTGTTAGGATTTCAATAAGAACTGCATCAATCCTCTAGAGCCATTTGGTTAGAGCTGACATCTTTCCTACACTGAGCCTTCAAATGTACAAAGTATATCTCTAATTCTCATTTTGTAATTTTCACCATATAAATCCTATCTGTGCTTTGTTAAGTTTACAGTGGGGCATTGGTTCCAGGTCCCTTCTTGGGTACCAAAATCCAAGGATGCTCAAGTTCCTTATTTAATTGGCAAAGTATTTACACATAATATGTACATATTCTCCCATATACTTTAGATCATTTCTAGATTATTTATCCAACCCAAATAAATTCTAATAAATAGCTGTTATATTGTATTGTTCAGGAATAAGAGAAAAAATTCTATATGTGTACAGTACAATTGAAAAAAAATTCCATCTACAGCTGGTTAAATTCATAGTTGGTAGACCTCATAGATATAGAGGGTCAACTTAATGTATAGTTAAGTATTTCATATTTTCAGAGTAACTGTAAATGGTATTGTAATTGTAAGTAGTTTTTAATATTTTTCTGCTTGTTCATTGTTCATCTGTGAGATTTTGTGATATAAATGTGATTCATTCTTGTATGATGACTTTGAATCTTGCCATCTTGCTAAACTTATTAGTTCTATTTTTTTTTCATAAATTCAAAGGTTTTTTTTTTTTCATCTATTAAAACAACAAAATAGTGATGAGGAATGGATGCTGGCAAGGCCACAGGAAGCCACTACCCATAGTCACTACCGATTGGCATCCAATACCTCGGCCACCCATTTTTAGGGCTCTTTATCTAAAATACTTTACCAAAAATGTGTTTGTTGTTAGATGTAGTGATCTCAATTCTGTAGCTGGCCGAGGGGAGTAATGCAAGCAAAGAAAAGTACAAATTAAGATGGTTGTTTACATTTTTCATAACAGTGGAAACCCTGGGGAACAATGAAGTACATTAATAAGAGTGAAAAAACCCCGTTGCATATGATAAATACATTGTTATACATTAATTAAGAAAATGCTTGTGGTCTTTTGTTTAAAAATTTAGAGGTCCATTAGATTATGATGTCCTCAAAGCAGGCCCACAACACAACTCCGGTGAGAATGGGCAAAAATGAGCATCGCAGTCTGGGGCAGGAGCCTCTCCTGGAGTGTTACCACAGGTTTTTAAGTTTCTGGTAATTCTATGTATGCAGAGGTAGGTCATATTTGTCCTAAGAAACTCAGTGGATTAGCACTGATGCTAAGAGAATTGAGATCAAGAGGAATCAGCTGGCATGAATGAAATGGAGTTTGGGTTGGATTAATAAATACAGTTTCTGGGATTGAAATTTTCTAATGACATATAAAGTGTTTTTTTTTCCTTCTACATGATCTATTCATCTTTGAACACTTGCTCAATTATGTCCTGGGATAAATTCCTGAAAATGAAATTGCTGAGTCCAAGGGAGTATATATTTTAGATTTTAATATATTGGCTAAATTGCATTCTGGAAAGGTCGTATTACTAGTTTATATATCTACCAACAGCATATGAGGCCTCAGGACATGGTCACTCCTGATGACCATTGTACCCTTCCAGGTGAAAGATCCATACACAATTTCTATGTTTATAACCTTTTATGTTTATTGCCCAGTCATAGGTCTGATTTTGATTGATATGTTCTCTTTCAGTGTTTTTATTTTTGAGATTTTATTTTTGTAGATTTATAAGAGAAAACATTTGTTAAATACACACATGAGAAAATGTGAAGGCTCACACCTTTCCTATTTGTGACAGGCGTACCCCCTGCTTTACTTTCCCCCCTGTTAGTGACATCCTATTCCATAAGCAAGTTTACAGTTTTATTTTTGTTTTCAAATTTTTCCTTCAGGATTTCTATCATGTTACAAAGTCTCCACTCCAAGGCTGTAGATTTGTTTTCATCTACTATTTTTATAGTATCTTTAAGATAAAAGGATTAATCTTCCTGGAGATTTTTTTATACAGTGTGTGAGGTACTGTTCACATTTTTCTATTTTCCCAAATGGACTACAAATTGTCCCCAAGCATTTATCAAGAGGGCAGTAGTGGTTAAGCAAGAGTACTCTAGAATCTTCCATCCGGCTCCACATCTTGTGGCTATGTGACCTCTTGACTTCTATCTCAAAGCCCATGTCTTTCTATGGAATGGGGGTAACCTGGCATTAACTCATAAGTGGATAGTGGGGACTAAGCAGGAAATTAGCCCCCCAAAAGGGCTGTGGCCCCAAAAGCCCCAGCAAGGGAAAAGGTCATAGACAATGGGGGAACGTGGAGCATAGAGAAACAGAGGCCTCCCACAGAAAAGGGTGGAAGGAACAGACACCCAAAAGCCTCCCACGAGGAGTCTAGGCTGTTGTGACACAAACCATGTGTCTCTAAGCAGGCTGCACATCTTGTAGTATGTACACCGACGCCGAGAGGGAACCTTGAAGGCAGCTGGTAATTCAAAAAGAATGTGGATCTGGGCATGGTGGTGCACACCTGTAATCTCAGCAGCTTGGGAGGCTGAGGCAGGAGGATCACAAGTTCAAAGTTAGTCTCAGCAACTAAGTGAGTGAGCCCCCCAGCAATTTATCAAGACCATCTCAAAATAAAAAAAATAAATAAATAAATTTAAAGGGCTGGGGATATGGTTCATTCTTTTTTTAAAATATATTTTCTTTCATTTATTTTGTTTTATATATCTGTAAAAACTCAACAAAATGTATGGATGGAATACACTGGGTATTTTAATTGATCTAATATTTCAAGAAATGCTTTGGTATGGACATTTGATCCCTCCTAGATGAACTAAAATCATGATAACAAAATAAAAAACATACACCAAGATTTTTTTTTAGGATAATGTGAGTTGCTTATGTCCTAGAAAACAAAATAAATCAACTTTCATGTAAACATTCATTAATATCAACACCATTTTCAGCCACCACTATGTAAGAATGCCTTGAATTTCATTGCAGTAAGAATGGGAGACTAAAGAAAAAGGTGTATCTAATTATTAGAAACAACATGTTATCATGTAACTGCTCACATGTCTCCAGAAGCTTGAAATCATTTACCATGCTTTATTAATACAAGCCTCTTAATATCATGTACTTATTGCATTTCATGTATGTAAAGGACTTACATGTGTTATCCTTTTAGGATGCTTATTTAAGAGAGAGATACATTATAATGTTCACTTTGCAAGTGAAGACACTGAGGCTCAGAGGAGTTTTGCAATATATGGCTCGGTTCTTAAATGCCCCTGGGCTCAAGTCCCAGTATCCTACCCCCCAAAAAGGTAGATCTACTCTGGCTTTCATGTTTGTGCAGGTCCCTAGGGGGTCTTGTGAACACAGAATCTCATCTGTCCCCTGGATGCCAGCCTTGGAGTGATAAGGGGGCAGGAGCTAAGACCTGACTGGCATTGCTTGTCCAGAATAGCAGTTCTCAGTTTAAAGGGCATCCACTTTCCATGGAGGGCCTTTTCTCACCTGGATGGCCAGGCTCACTCCCACAGTCTCTGATTCTGTTTGGCTACGAGTTTGAATTTCTTTCTTTCTTATTTTTGTTTGTTAGTTTTTTGGGTTTTTTGTGTGTGTTTTGTGTTGTGCTGTGGATGGAACCCAAGGCCTCACACATGCTAGGCAAGTGCCCTACCACTGAGCTGCACCCCCAGCTCCAAGTTTGCAGGTTTGACTTGTCCCCAGGTAAGGTCAAAGCTGCTGGCCCAGGGATTTCTTTGAGAACCAAGGTAGATATTGTATGGGTTGGGTTTATCCTGCCCGATTGACCCAGGGGCTGAATTCCAGGTCCCAGGTTGTACCTCCTATCTGGAATGGGGAGACTTTCAGGCTCCTAGGGCCTGGCTGGCATACAAGGTCTCCCTCAGAATTCTCACTCTTCAATGGCCCCTGCTCATTAAGCATCCTTGTGACCAAGTATCTGATCTCTGATTTCTAGTCTCTTGTGGGGTGTGGAGGACCTGAGTACCTTGTATCCCCTTCCTAGAATCCTCCTTGAAAGGTCATCTGGTACCCCAAACCTTTCAACATCAGACAGCAATGTTGGACAACCTGGTCCAGTGTTCCCATGCTTCTAAGATTTCAGAGTTTATTTAGGTTTGGGGTTTAAAGGGCAGATGCTGTCGCTGTCAGGGTGGCCCTGTGGTCACTTGCATTTATGCTGTTCTCATTCTCTTGTAGTGCCAGCCAGCAGCGCAAGCCTCCCAACGTCAGAGGGAGCAACCTCACTGGGTCCGAGCCACCCATCCCCCGACGACACGGCAGGCACCTCACCGCCCCTGCCACCTACCCCAGGCCCCCTGGAGGCTACAGGTGTGAGCATGCAGGCACAGCCAAGTCCTGGGCGTGTGGCCCGCTCTGCCAGTGACCCTACCTCCTGTGTATCCAGTGAGGCAGGTATGGCTGGCTGAGCCCGTCTGTGCCCCCAGGGTGTGTCCTGGACACTGAAGGTCTCATAACCTCTGAAAGTGAAGACCCAGCTCTGGGAAGTTGGGGATCACAGTCTGGATGTCTGAGACTATAGCTGAGTGCGGGTAGTGGTAGCCTGGGGGCCTCTTCTGTGTGAGCAGAGGAGGAGGGATGCGAGAGCTTGGAATGATGGGAGTCCCCCAGCAGTCATCAACTCTGGGGTTAGCCAGGAGTGTTGCACACCTGCTCCAGTGTCCAGGAAGGGCCAAGGTTCAGGCTAGGACAGGTGTCCTCAGGTGAAGTCTGTGGGTAAGTGGCATGTCCTCTGCCTGGAGTCTGGGGCAGACCCAAATTTGTTCTCAGTAGCACTTTATGACCCCCTTGGTAGTCTTCCATGTGCAGTCTGGAGTGTGAGTGGAGTCCCTGTATGACTGTGTGAGTGGACACCAGCCTGGGCTGCAAGTCTGTATAAGACACAGTCCCAATGTCCACAGCCCTGGGATTTACATTTCACACAAGCTCCCTCAAAAGTCTTATGGCCCCTGATGTGGGAGAACCCATGCCCATCCTCATTGCCATGGGAAGGGCTGCATAGTGTCAGTAAAGATTGGTGTGCCTTTTGACTGTGGTTCCATCACAATCAGAAGATTTTCACAAAACGGCTGTGAAAGAAGAAGTCCCAGTGTGACTGCACCTGTCTTGTCTCAGTGGTCTTGTCTAGTGGACACCCAAATAGCCTAGAGTTCAGCCAGCCAAAGAAGAAAGAAATCCTGAAAAGGAACCAGGAAGCCACACCAGTCAACTGCCTGGAAGCATCCTCCTGGTTGAAATGTCTTATTTTGCACCTGTAGACTTTTCTAGTGGGTTCTCTCCATCTCTCTTTATCCTTCCCTCCCACATGCAGTTGCTGGCTTACATAAGAACATTCCATCTGAATTTCCTGAAAAAGTCCAGCTCTGCTAGTTCATTCAGAGCTTCTCGGCTTCCCTCTGCCCTGTGAGGGCCAACCCCTGAGCCTCCATGCCCACAGTCACTCACTGAGGATTGGGGGACAATCCTATGCACTTGGAGGGACTCAGGGATATGTTCAGGATGTGGCCCTCTGCTGGCTTCCTTTGGCCTGTTCCCCCTCAGTGAAATTAATGGTCTGCAAATCATGACATCCAAGGGGTGGCAATGAGGGAAAATCCAATCACCATTTCTTTTCTGCATCCCGCACACCAGCCCATTGCTTCTGGCTCCTCTCGGCCACATGAGACTGTTTCTATTCCATAGGACAAAGGCATGTGTCTGACAGGTCCTTGGGGAACCTCAGAATCAGAGGCAATTCTGATGAAGAGTTCAGGGCTTGTATGAGGAGAGTTGTAGGTCCCAGGTAGGAGGACCTAGACACCACCTGAGCCACAGTGGGCCTGGTGAGATGCAGGGCTGCTCCCCTTTCATCCATGGACTGGTTTGTTCCTGCTTGTCTGGCATCTAAAATATATGTGTTAGCCACAGGCAGGCTGAGATAGTTTTATCAATAATTCCTTTTTCCCTTTCATGTGTTAACTGAATTCTCTTCTGGTTAAGATGCCTCTTCACACTCTGCCTCGTGCAGCCAGGACCTTGAAACAAGACTGTCTCGGGCTACTCTGGGGACAGGTGAGGTAATTCTTTTCTAAAATGCTTGACATCTACCTGCTGTGAAGTAGGGGTATGAGTTAGCTGCATTAGGTCCTTAGCTGCATTGCCTCTAAATTCAGCTTCTTTCAATGTCACCTGGGAATGTGTTTCCCTCTCTCTCTCTCTCTCTCTCTCTCTCTCTCTCTCTCTCCCTCCCTCCCTCCCTCCCTCTTCCTCTCTTTCTCTTTCTTTCTCTGAGTACAGCTGTATCAGGGGCTACAACTAGTTTAATATGCATATGGCTGCTTATTTTACTTTATTAATGGCATTTTGGGGAGTTGATTTGGAGGTTTTTTATACTTTCTCATGTTTAATTCCTGGGCTTGCTCATTGCCATTAAAAAGACCCCAGAACAGTTCATTCAGAATATGTCTCCTTGGAATGACGTAGAGAGCATTGGGCAAGTTGGGCCTTGATGTGGTCCTCCATGAGTGGATCTCAGCTGACTGCCTGGGCCTGGCTTTGTCCAAGGTGCCATCTGACCATGCTTATTCTATGTATGATGCATTGTAGCTGACAGTCAGCCCTGTGGGGAGCTGAAGCCATTTTTCCAGCCCCTGACCTGGTGGGCAGGAGGGGAAGGACCCTGAGAAGTGGCTCCATGACTGACATAGTGGAGGGGGTCTCATTGCCCCTTTACCACTCCCCAGCTCTGATTTTAAGTCAGACCCTGTGTCTAGGTGCCACAGTTCTGGCCCAGCAAGTGGTCAGACCCAGAGGGAAAGGTCATGGAGCTGGGAAAGGCTGAGAAGGGCATTGGCTTAGGAACTCTGGCTGTGAGGCAGATAAAACCGCTCCCTGCCCAGCACCTGTTCTTCTCCCTGGCCTACCTCGCCTTTTGGCCCCCATTCCTAGTCCTTCAGCTCTGGGAGGCTGCAGCCCTCAAGGTTAATACCAGCCTAACCTTGGGCTGAGAAGGGAGGGAGGGACACAGGAAATAGGGCCATGCCTAGATGCCAGATCAGAAACAAGAAACCCAGCAGAAAGCATGTCCACAGCATGATTCTATTGCTTTGTAAAGAACTCAACAGATATCTTTTGTTTTTGTTTTTGTTTTTTTCCTGGTTGTTTTCAAATTGCATCTTTTCCCTTGATTTTTAGTTTCCACATCTCGCTCAGTCATGGCTACCTATCAGCACCAGCTCTCACCCCCCAGGGACCCTGGGACCTGGAAAACTGACCAACAGACAAAGCCAGAGGCCTTACAGATGGTCTCAAAAGTGCGGCCACACTCTTTAGTGGACAGCAAGGCCTATGCAGACACCAGGGTTTTGGTGGCTAAGTTTTTGGAACACTCGAACTGTGCCCTCCCTCCAGAGGTACGGCATGTGGTGGGCACCATCCACTCTGCAGTCACTTCTGAGGAGAACCCGGTGGAGGAGGCCGTCTTTGGTGCTGGAGTCCTGGACCAGCTATGAAGCAACCAGAAGTCTGTACGGGACACTGAAGGAACTGGTGTCAAGCACAGCCTTTTCTTGCCAGAAGATACCATGCTTGACTGGGAGGAGCCTTTGGCCCAGCTTGGCAGAGGACAAATGGAGACCACCCAGAAGTGTCAGGGTGCTCTAGTGGGCAACTGTTATTCCTTCTCTTGAGGTGGCCCTGATCAGTGGTCTTCTTGGGAACTGCATTTGTTACCCATTCCATACTTCGGAATGATGATTCTCTTGTGTCCTTAGTGAATTTGTTTTCATCAGGCATGTAGCACTTTGAACTGACCAGCGTTACGTGAATGCCAATACATGACAGGTGACACTCATGTCACTGAGAGACGCTACATCTCCTCCAAATCAGGGCCATGAAAGCAGGATTCTCCTCCATCCCCAATGTAGTTTAGTATTAAATGGATAGAGGATGTCATTCCGTAATGGGACTATTTTCCCCTGTGGTTCGTATCTCTCTTTAATGAAACCTTTATCCTATTATGGACTGTTATTTCCTTTAAAAGGAAATAAGTAACTTCAGCACAGATGGTACCCAAAGCTCCAACTCTTTGCCCACAGGGCTACAGAGCTATTGTGCAAACAAATCCACAGTGATGGGATTCACCATGGCCCTGCCACCCCTGGGAAGCAGGAAGGTATTGCAAGGGCTTTAAGGCACCTGCCATCTCCTTGTCTCCTGGACCTCTCAGCTGGGCCTCCGTCTGTGGGCTGCCATCCCCACTTTCTCCCTAAGCTCCCCTTTCTCCATGGTCCCCTGTCCTTAAACCAGAGTCAACAAATAACAATAAGCACCTTCCCCTTGTATCTAAGCTCACCTCACTGACCTGGGTCGGGCACAGGGCCCCTTTCTCCAGGGTGTGTATACCTCCTGCTAAGGCATGACCCAGCACTATCCCTCCCCCAGCCAGGTGGCAGCAGGCACATCTGCATTGCATATTTCTATGAGAGCTCTCTCTGTGTTGGTCATGCAGAAGCAGCAAGCCCAGCTTGGGTCCAACTCGATTGCCTTTGGCCAACTTGGGCACCTTTGACTTTCTTGCCCCACCCTTGCCCCTTGTTTTCTGGCAACATCAGCTGTAATCAGTTCTCAGCAATGGCCCTAGAGCAGCGCTATCCACAAGAACTTTCTTTGTGCAGGAAACACCTGTACCGGGACCATACAAAACAGTAGTCACTAGTACATAGGGCTGTTGAGTCCCCCAACTGTGGCCAGTGGTTCCTGCTTTGGGCAAAAAGCTTACCTTTGTGCCTGCCACAGCAAGTGCAGGAGATGGGCCGGAGGGTACCCACCACTGCTCAGTGCCTGGCTAGGGGTTCGTGATGCTCTTCTCTGTTCTGCATGGCCTGTGACTGTTCTTGAGCTCCCCCACCTCAATATCCTGCATCCCATCCCTCAGCCTCTAATTCCAGTTCATCCAATGTGCTGGGGGCACTTCTCTGTGTTTGGAAGTGAGGCAGGGGGTAGAAGGAGGGTTCCAACTCAAGTATGGTATAGGAACCTCCCAGCCAGGGTCAGCTGCTAATGGTTTGATTGCTTTGCCAATGTCCTTGGTTGCTGCCTCCCTGAAGTTACTGAGCTCAAAATATATAAATCAGGCCTTTTGACAGCAATCTTCCTTTTCCACAAGAGACATACTAGAGATGAGTTTATGAGCACTTTACTCAGACTATGAAATGGGAAATCTTCTCTAATTTTTCTCAAGTGAGGGCTTTTGAAGCAAGTCCCTTTGCAGGTAAAGTTAATTGATGGTTTTTCAGAATGGCTTCTCCTGAGCCATGGGCAAAGCAAAGTATTTACATCCTGATGTCCTAGTCCGGGAATAGCAGTATTTTCACCGTCTCTGAGGTGAGCCAGAGCAATGCCAGCTGCAGGGGGGAGTGCCTGCTGGCAGGGCAGGCAGTGGAAAGTGGGGGGTGTACACAGCAATGTCCCTGAGCCCTGCCACTGGCTGGGATAAACCATGCAGACCTCAGACCTGCTTACAGTCTGACTGAGGCCAAGACTGCTTCCCATGACACTGACTCAAGCTCTGGGGTATTTTTATTGTGCGGTCAGGGGACAAGTCATCCTGGAGTTCTGTGTCCTTCACTTTGCCTCTCTGCAACAGGGCCTTATCATCTGTCATTTGGGTCTCCTGCCTCAGGCTGTACCTCCCCTCAAGCATAGACTGATGTGCTGTCCTAAAACCTTCAGTCCCAGGCATTGTCCAGAAAGTGCCATCCACACACATACCCACTCACACTTAAGTTCTGTGTTTGCTGTCGTAACAACTCTATCTTGTGGATAAAGAAACTGTATCCAACTGGATGCCACTTGGCTAGAACCTTCTGCCTCATGGAAACAAGCCTGGCCCATCCTCTCAAGGCCAGGTTGACCCACATGAACACTGGGAAGGCCAGAGCTCCAGGCTTCCAGGAAAGATCCCCAGAAGGCACAGCGGCTGGTAAGGCCCACTTGGGAGTGTGCTGGCAACTTCTGCTCTGGTCCCGTTGACCCAGTTCAGCGACATCCTGGTGGTAGCAGTTCCAGCAGCAGGCCTCCAAGGCTCCAAGCAGCATGTGGGCTCTCAGCCAATGGGAGAGCTGGCTTCCTGCCCCTTGCTGTGCATCCTTTCCATCTGGAAGCTTATTCTCCTGTTTCCTGTTTTGGTATCTGGAACAGGCCTGCATGGCTGTTTTAAGAAGTTACTTTTCCCACTTCGGTATGGCTGGGACCTAGGCAGGAACCCAGAGGAGGCTGGCAGCTACTAGGACACCACCTTTAACCCTGGCCTGGGGTGGGGTATGAGGATGCCGAGGTGGGCAAACTTTGGACCCCAACTCTATGGCTAACAAGGTTCAAGGTTCGGGGCATCTTTCACAAGCACTCAAGGTCTCCTTGAGCTGGAGATAAACACACAAATTAAAACTTGTGATGAACCATGATGTAACAGAAAGCTTATTTCAGATGGATGTTCCTTTTCTTTCCCCTCTGCTGTATCAACTCACAGAAGCTGCTAAGGCAGAATTTAAAGAAAATTGTTTTCAAGCCACCAGAGACCTGTTTGTACAACTCAAACGGTTGTATTTATTTAATGTACCTCAAGGTGTTTTAATAATGATCAGTGTTTTAATAAAAAGTATTTCTGGCCTCTGTTGTGTCTGAGGTCTAATTGGGACAGAGACAGGCTGAGGGCTGTGTGCACCGTTGGCCAAGAGCAGGGTCCTGAGGGCTTGGGCTGGGCTCCCTGCCAGCTGCTGGGGAGTGGGAGGCACCCAGAGCTGCCCAGCTGTGCTTCCTAGGAGCCCCCTGGAGAGACTGAGCTGCAGCAGCTCAGGAGGAAAAGGCAGCCCCCTCCACCCGATGCACGCACGTCCCATCCACACTGACCCACAGCTGCCGCTCCGTGGAGGCAACACCTGAGGGCTTCTGGGAGAAAACAGGCCACGGCTCAAAGTTTTTCTTCCTCTTTTTTTTTTTTTTTTTTTTTGACTGTGTATCATCTTGGCGGGAGTCACGCCCCCATGTCATCTGCTAGCCATAGCCTTCCTCCCTGGAGCCCATCACACGCCTTGTCCTGGGCACTGCAGGAATATTCCCTTAGGCTGCCTGAGCTGCGATCCCTCCCCTGCTTCTCCTCAGGTTATGATGGTATGGTTCTTTGCATTCCCCAAGATGGTGCTATCCCTGCTAGCATTTTTTTCTTTCTTGGCACAGAACTTTCAACTCTTCGCCTCCCCTTTCTATTAGAGTTTCCTACTGAACATTTTTCTTTGACTCTACCATGCAACCTTTCTGAAAGAAGGCCTGGAGCTAGAGTTCGCTTTGAAATCAGACTGTTCTTACATGCCCTGATGGCCAAGGGAGAGCTTAACGGAGTGCTTAGCTAGCATCCCTCAGGGGGCCTCGTAAGAAAAACCGCTTGTTCCTCCCCAGAATCCCAGGCCACAAAGGTGCTTGGTGAGTAGCTCCGACCAGCAGAGCATGCACTGCGTGAGCAGGCCAAAGAGAAGGGGTCCTGTGTGCCAAGGTCCCCGGGCTAGTAGAGCTGGAGTCCCCTCCCTGGGCTTTCTGACTAAAGCCCAAGTTCACTCCGTGGCCTCCCCATGCCAAGTGACACCAGGGCCATACCACAGAGAAAAGAATGTGACAGCAGAACTGCCTGAGTCCTGTTAGTGCTCTCGACGACTGCAAAGGACCTCACAAGTATAAAGAGGGGTCTGGGAGTGGCGCTTCGACTCTGTATCATACCCACACACACGCGTGTGCGTGACCATGTGTGTATACCTCTCCTGGAGGCAACTGATATTTAAATCTGAAGAAGCCCAAGTCTCCATCTCTCTCTTATTCAGTTAGTAGTTTGTGGCCATGTCTCTCACCTGGGGCAGGTGGGTAGAGAACCCAGAGCAGTCTGGTGACCTGTGACGACAGCTGACACTTCCAGGTGCTGCAGGACTTGGCCCACACGAGAGCTGATGACCTTAGCATCCATCCTCTGATCTCATGGCCAAGAGCTCCCAAGGCCCTAGACTGGGGAGGGATGCTGTCACCATATGGAAGACTTGCAGAGCCACTCACTAGAGAGTAAGAACCAGAGGCCAGTTGGATATATGATGCTCAGTGAACACACCAGCCACACAAAGAGCTTCCATCATGACTTCAGGTTTATTAGTGAGATGCGCGAAGTCTTCCTAAGGTCAGCTGCATGCAACACACAGGTTACTCCTCAAATACAGTAATCCTAAAGCTTTAGTTACTGCGTGGTAAGGCTTCTTAAGTCACAGTGTATTCTTCAAGGCCTGGGCCAAAAAAAGAGACTTCCAGACAAAATGATGTCAGTTAACATTGATCTCTAATGAACCGAACCGGACGATGTGTTCCTTCATCTGCACACGCTCTAATACTGCTCATGGCGGGGGCGTCTTGCTTGCCACGTAATTAGCGCTCATGGCTGGTTGCCTCAGGAAGGGCAGAGGTGGAGTTTTCTGGTGGG